TCATCCCTAACATTGCACAGGGACATTTCTATTTTACTTATATCAAATCTGTGGGCCATTTTCTTTATTTTATCCAAAAGCAAAGTTTAATTTCTGACTCTGATATTTACATGGAAGTGTAAAAGCACAGATACAGTAAATGGGATATAAACACCTGAAAATGAAAACTAAACACACTGTTACCTGAACTGCTGGTGTTTTGTTGTTGTGTGGTGTGTGGGGGTGAGGTTGATGTGCTTGTCTGTTTATTATCTTTATATAATAAAGGAATAAAGCAAATGTTGTTCTTGTTAATTACTTTTATACAAATTCAGAAAGGCATTTTTAAAAAGAAACCAAAAAACTTAAATACACTGTTACTTGTACTGTTTTGTTATTGCTTACTGTTGAATAAAATTGTTTTAAGCCAATCTAGTATGGGATTGAAAATCCCCCCTGAAAAATTGTCAAATATGAGGCATTGTGTGCGGGTAAGTCAAAATCCTTCTATATATGTAAATGATTACTTGATCAAATAAATGTTTTTTTTTTTTTCTTGTAAATGTATACTTTACAGTACTTATCATCTCTAATATCTGTACAGGGACATACCTAAATTCCCTTTATATCAAATCTTTTCTTAATTCTTGGCCATAAAAACAGTGGAGGTGAAATTGATGTGCTTATCTGGTTATTTTCAGTACTACTGTATCCCCAAAATCTAGTACAATCTAGTGTGGGATTTAAAAAAAAACCTGAAAAGTAAATATTTAAAACACTGTTACCTGAAGTGTCGGGGTTGCTTGGTTGCTGTGAGGTGAGTGCAGTTGTGGTTGGTGTGTTTGCCTGCTTATTTCTCTCAGTATTACACACTGAATGATAATAATTATTAGATTAAATCAAATGTTGCTTTTATAAATGTTTTTTACACAAATTAAAAAGCTGGAATACAATGTTAAACACACTGTTACCTGATGTATTGGTGGTGTTTTGTTGCGAGGTGCATAGAGGTGAGGTTGGTGTGTTTGTCTTGTTATTATTTTCAGAATTATTACCTAGATGGATAATTGAATTAAGTAAAGTGTTTTGTAAATATGTAAACACAGTTCAGTATGGAATAACATGGTGGCTCGACATAATACAAGATATATATTAGCAAACTAAAACTCTGGATCTGATGTTGTGTTGTTGTATGGCAGTGCGTGAAGGTAAGCCTGTTGGTTTTGTGTCATTTATATCTTTAGCAAAACTTTTAGTGGTTGTTATAATAAACTATATTTTTTCTGTATAAATACACTGACACTAAAGAAGTTGGACAACATATGGTGACTAAAATTAGCACCAAAAAGGGACCATTAAATTGTTACAATTAACTGCAGAATTTTACATTTATATGTTTGCACTTTACAGGGTACGAAATTAAGATTTTCCCTTACCAGATTTTTTTAAACCTCCACAAGAGCAATTTTTATAATTACCTATTGCCAAACAACTATTATCTATATCAACAAGTGTTTAAAAGATACAGTATACAAAATCACATATTTTACAGGTTAATTATCATAAATCAAACTATTTTGTGAATCAACTGTAATCATTTGTAGAGAGAGCTTAAATGGTGTGACTTTACCCGTGCTGGTGGTGGTGACTGTGGGTGTGGGTGAGGTGAAGTGCATGAGGCTGGAAGGTTCTGATGCTTTCACTAGGTAACAATAGAAGAGTTAAAACTAGCTAACCAGGCCATAGATCACCTGAATAGATGACACTGTGCCATGTTAGATGGGCAGGAATTGTTTGTACAGAGACCACAAGTGGTGGTGTTTTACCCGTGGTAATGGTGGTGATTGGGAGTGAGGTTGAGGTGGTGAATGTGGAAAAACTGAGAGTGGATGTAGGGAGTACAGTGGTTGAAGGTAAGGTGGTGCCAGCCTCTTGGTGTTGTTATGTTGGTAGTTGGTGATAAAAGAGTTTAGAAAATGACTGACAAGGATATTAATGCATTATTTCTACAGACTTAGACCTGATTTATACTTCTGCATGATACATTTCAAAGTAACAATGCACTGGTCACATTTCAAACAAAGTCAACAACTGCTAAATTGTTTATACGTTTCCCTTCCTCATATTGTTTCATAAAGTCTCTGCAGGAAAGTAAAGGGAGTTCCTAGATCAGTGGGAGTTACCAGATTGGTGGACAAGAGGGCTGGTTTTTGACCCATTACCTGTTTGGCTCATTGGATCAGGTTTTAATTTATTTCACAAATTTACTTCATTGATTCTGTGATTGATCCTGTGGCTTGTTTAAGAATTTCGTAAATGTGTCCTTATCTCGAATATCTACATCAAGCTTGAAATAGTGGCACATTCTCATCCTGAACCAGCAAATATGCTACACACCAATCCAGAAGACACTGATTAAACTAGATCAAGCCACACTTCTTCTGTTATCCTGGATTTCTTTATTCTACTTCTGTGCAAAACCCCTCTGGATTGCTGATGCTGTTTTGTAGTAGCATATGGATGAGTGAAGGTGAGTGTGTTGTGTTTGCCTTTTTATCTGTAATAATACTCTCAAAATGATGATGATTTTTAGTTTAAATCAAATGTTGCTCCTTGAATAGTTTATTTAACCGAAATAATACAATGTCAAATGCAGCGTTACTTGATTTTTTGCTGGTGTCTTGTGCTGATGCATTGAGTGCAGGTGAGGTTGTATTGATTTTCACAGGCACATTTTAATCAGAACCATTCCCTAAATGTACATTATAATTTAATAAATAAATTATTTTATAAATTAGATTTTTTTTTCATATAGATTAGATATGAGTTATGTGTTACCTACACATATATAAATATTATTAATAGTGTATTATAAAATAACAGTTTTTTTTTCCAACTGCTAACACACATTTTCAAAACAGTGTCACTTTTTTCCAAAAACTCTACAAAGAATTCTCAGAACTGCACACATAAAATACAAAATGCCTAACATGTCTATATAATACGAATATAAAACACTTCTTTCATAATATAACACTTTTGGGCATAGCATGTCAACACATCTAAACTACATCTAAAGCTCTTTGTTCTTTCATAGGCTTATTTCTACAGTTCAACAGTGGCACAACAGGTACACTGTAAACACCAATCACATGAAGAAGCAGTAAATATTCATTAGGGCAAACATGTTGTACTGTATACAGTAGCATACAACAAAACATAAACTTACTCTATGTAAAAATGTATGTAAAGCATATGTAAAGCAAATGTAAATTTTCCAAAATACAGTAAATGCAGAGTGTGGGGTTTCAGAAAGGAAAAAGTGTCCTTTGGTTGGCCATCAAACACTTTACAGAGCAAGGCTGAGAATAATTCTACTGTTCTTTTCTAGAGGAATTTAGGATAGGATTTAAAAAGGTGAATATGCAGTAGGTACAGAATTACAAACTGTGGACCATTGGCCCAGAACAGCCCAGTGTCCTGTCACCATTGACATATCTAAAGGTTTATATTACAGTAAAGCAGTGGGAGTGTGTGTGTGTGTGTGTGTGTGTGTGTGTGTGTGTGTGTGTGTGTGTGTGTGTGTGTGTGTGCGTGCGTGCGTGCGTGCGTGCGTGCGTGCGTGTGTGTGTGTGTGTGTGTGCGTGCGTGCGTGCGTGCGTGTATGTGTGTGTGTGTGTGACCTGCTGAAAAAGTGTAGCAGTTTGATTGGTTTGGAAAAGGAAAGCAAGTAGCTTCCTGTTAAATTTGAGTGTTTTGCGGAGAGAATTGTGTGTAGTGTTTTGAAAAAAAAAGTGTTTTATACAATAGCTTCTAGTTTTAAAGATTTGGAGTGTAGTTTAGCATTTTGAGTGAGAGGTTTCAGAAATTGTGTGACGTGAAAAGATTTTGTGAGTAAGCAGTTATAAATTTGTTGATTGTAAAACTGTTAATGTTCCAAACGGCACAAAAACACCACTGCCTGCATGTCAACAAATAAAACATATAAGAGGTAAAATAAACTAATATTTAAAAAAGCGTTACAGTTAACATGAAATTTAAATGTAAAGACCGCTTTTTCAGTTGCTTGACAGAAGCTCGGCCACTTATGACACAATCTGACTTTTCCAGATAAAATACTGCAGTATTAGACAGTGAAAGAAGAAATGGTATGGTTTTACCTGTAAGGTTGGTGACTGCATGCATGGTTGAGGTGGGGGGTGTGGAGAAATTGAGAGTGGATGCAGGGTTGTAAGTTGCTAAAGATGAGTGGATAAGAGGAGTGGTTTTCAACTCATTATAATCAATAATGAAAGCAAGAGAGAAATGTTGTGTTTTTAGCTTAACATGAGGGGATGATGGAGGTCAGAGTGTGAGAGTGAGTGTGAAAGACTAGCAGTGCAGGAGTGTGAGTGTGTTGATGTTGTGGAGTCACCTTTATCTTGGGTGCTTTCTGCAGGTGTATTGGATGTGTTGGAAGTGTTGTTTGACTCAGTGTCTGTAATGATGGATTGACACCATGAAATATCTAAGCATGTGAAGATTTACACATACACAACAGGACAAATCGAGTGTTGGGGAGTAGCTTATCTCAGCTGCTAACTTTGCTAAATTTTTCAGTAGCTTGACAGAATTTCAGCCACTTTTGATACAATCTAACTTTTCCAGTAGCTACTTACTTTTTCCAGCAAGTAGTGAAGTAGTTTAACAGCAACATTACATTTAGTGAAGCTGCAATGGTCTGAAGCAGCACAGCATCGTCTTACAAGATTACACACTACAATACTGTATTACAGCCATCTGTTGCTAATTATCACACATCTCATTGTTTTACATTATTTATTTATTAATTTATTACTGTTATCTTTTTTTAGGAAGTAACTTGTAGTGTTGTAGTAGTGTAGGTCGACAGTAGCTTAGCTACTTTTACCCACAGGTAGATTGTTTGTAGCTTATCAAGTTGCAGTTTCAGAGTAGCTTCCCCAACACTGTACAAATCATACATCACTGTATAACTGTATAACAAAGTATGTGACGCTTACCTGTACCAGCATATGATTCACCTGAGGACACTGTAAAATGAGACATAATTAATTACCTTCATCTGCATTTAATGCTTTTGTTTTTTATATTCATAACAGCGGGATGTGCAGAGCAATAAATGGCACAGATTCATCAATGTGCTATAAACATTCATCAGAGATTTTAATTCATATTGACCTGACAGCATCACCCAGTTTCTGCAGATTTGTCATCTGCTCATCTATGATGTAAATCTCCTGTTCCTCCAAAGCTCAAAAGTGCTTTATTGAATTGAATGTGTAATGCTGTCATGTTCACAAAACCAGTCTGAGATGATTTGCTCAAGTCAAATGTGATGTCATATGACGACCAAGATTTATCAGACCAGGCAACCAATCTCATTCAGTCAAATGTAAATCATCATGCTTTTCCAGATAAGTTTGCTGCAGTGACCAAATTTCTTCAAAAGACAGGTACTAAAGAAGGTTCACACTGAATCATAAAAGAAAGAAAAACCTTTTTCAATCTTCAACTGTTTGGTCTTGTTGAGCCTGTGTGAACTGTAGCTGTCACTTCATCCTATATTTAAGTGAATAAAACAGATTTGACAACATTTGACTTAATACAAACCACAGATAGTATCATGTCCACCAATTTATGACTACATATCTAGATCATCTCAAACTGATTTCTTGAACATGACAGTATGTTCACTGCACTAAAAAGACCTTCACAGTCACCAGATCACAAACAAATTTGAGATTTACATCATGGATGTTAAACTAACAATAGTTTGTTTTCACATGACATCATTGATGACGCACAAAATTCAGATGGAGGGCAGGAACTCATTCTTCTACATAGGAATCGCTATCAGAACATCAAAATGTTTCTGTTTTATGTTGTTTATAATTGTTTAAATTGGCCAAAATAAGACATGCCATACAGCTTTTATAGACTTCCTAAAGTGTTTTTTTCTCATAAAGGGGGGAATGGAAGAAACTGGCTAAAAAACGCAGAAAAGGCAACATGTAACAAAAAATGTATTCAATACATCCATGTGTAAAAACTTTTTTGAATGCGAGAATTTGTTTGACAGCACCAATAAAGATTACAGGCCTAGCTATGTGTATAAATATGGTGATGTGTTACTGTATATAAATATCAGATACAAACACCATCACAAAATCCAGAAGAATATAAATAACGTACCCTGCCATAATGAAATCTCTGTCTTGCTTTGCAATAACCCATGTCTTTATTGCCGTTTTGGAGGAATAAACAACCGTTACATTAATGTCTATACGTGCAGCAGCTGCGAATGTTTGTTGATGGTAAGTTCATTGACAGAACAAAAATTTAATGCAACCATTGCATGAAAACTAGACTTTTTTGGGGGAGCACTTTTCCCTCTTACAAAAATAAATAAAACATTTATAGTAATGTTGACTTTGTGTCCACACTTTAGTATGTTTTTTTCTGTTATTTCGAAATTTCTGGAAGATATCCGCATAGGGAAAAACTATAGTAAGATATAATAAACATGTTTATGAACCACATAGTAAAGTGTATATTGTGTTAAACTCTTTGCTAATGAATGCTACAGAATACAGTAACAATATAATTACTATGACAGTTTAATTTAAGTGATTATCTATAGTATGCTTCCAAACACCATAATATTTACTCTTATGTTTCATGTAACGTAATAGCTTATACAGTATAATGCCTCGATGACAGGCAAATATATTTTAGTTTAGTAGAAAACTCGCCCCTTTTCATAATATATCATATATCATGCCCAACATATGTGATTATTTTCTGATTATAGCTCCTTTGAAATATAGTATAAATCTGAAAAACACAGACTTTTCTTTATGTCTCCCATTCATTTTTTTACTTCTTGCCCTCCATCTGAATTTTGCACCTCACCAGAACTACGCGACTGAAAACAACCTACTGCACCATCTATGCATGTTGATATAGACTGAAATCTCAGAGGGATGTTTCCAGCACCTTGTTGAAACTATGCCACAAAAATTAAGGCAGATCTGAAAGAAAAATGATCCAACCTGCCACTAGCCAGATGTACCCAAGTAAGCGACTAACACACACACAAATACACTGTACATTCAGATGTGTGGAGGATGGAGGTCAGAGAGAGTGAGAGAATTGTGATTTTGCGTGAGAGATCCTAATAATGCAGGAGTGTGAGTTTGATGTCAGCTTTACCTTTGGTGGAGTTATCTGCATGTGGGATTGATGAATTGTTAGAAATGGCTGAGTCTGAAATGTAAAGGTCAATGTAAAGGTCTGTAAAAAGGGATTTTTGGGCAGAATTGCTTTTTGCAACTGAATCATTTGATTGAATTCTTTACAGAAATCAACAGTACAAACAGAAATGAGTGCATGTTGTGATGCTATACTTACCCACATTTATATATACTTCAGAAACATCAAAATCAATGTAAAACAATCAATAATAATAATATAAACAAACATTTAATGACAAACACAATGACACCATGTTTATCTTCTTGCTAGAACTTTTAGCAACAACAATCAAGATGAAATGCACTCTTTAAAAAAGTATTCTTATTTATTATTCAGTCAGACATTGATTGATTTTCTGTGTAATACATATTGACAACACAGAGAGAGGAAACTTTAAATCGGAACGTGGAAAACACAGAACTTTCATTTAATATTATTTTTTTATTACTGTTTTGGTAATTTTAGCATAAATTACAGTTTATAGTTATAGTTTCATGAACACACGTAACCTTCCCAGACTGGTACAGAGAGTTTAAAAAAAAAAAAAAAATATATATATATATATATATATATATATATATACGTTCCCTACAGGTCATTGTTAGAGTTTTTTTCATCCATTCAATAACGATAGGATAACAAACTTTAAAAATCAAGAGAATGTTCTAGGAACATTAAAAGAACTTTAAATAATGATTGAAGAACAATAGAACTTAAGGGAACATTAGTATATCCTCTAATAAACCAAAAATTTTCCTAGCTAACCAAAAACAAACCTTAATAAAAATAAAGAATGCTCTGAAAACCAGATAGTTTCCGAAATGTTGTGGAAAGGGTGACATGAGCATGAGAGATAGTGATGGAGAGCTTGAAGTGCATTGTAAAGAGAGAGGTTGAAGGTCAATATGAGGCTGATGATGTCATGTGAAAGAGTGTGTGTCTGCTTTGGTGATGCGTGTTGTCATGGTTACCTGGAGGTTTAGATGTGGTGATATTAGAAGAAGTTTGCATGGGTGAGGTACCGAAACCTATTGACATTAAACAAGTTAAATTACAGAAATTAGTACACTGCATATTTGGTAGAATTTACATTTTTATCCACTGGACCAGTTTATATACTACGTATATTATTTATACACAAAGACACAGACAGACAGAAAGACAGACAGACAGATAGATAGAACTGCACATCCGGCCAGTGACCATATGCACTAGAAGAGATACCCCATGCATCAAGTAGAGAAACGCCAACTTAACTCACAAACCTAGTCCCAACATCTAAAGACTAAAGAAGTAGAAACAAATACCCAGGAGAAAAATATGCTCAATTGGCAAAACAAGGCAAGACAAATAAAAAATGTAGCATGCTTCCAACGGATTAAACCTGGGTATGACCTGGCCCCGTCTTACCCACTTCCTCACTCACTGCAGCAAATACCAGACCATCAGATACGTTTATTTTACACAATTATCTCTACCTGAAATCCAGCAAACCACAAATACTGATACACTCCATTTTATTTTGGGAGAAACTGCAATGTGTCTTCATAGCAGCACAGTACTGTATATGTCCTCATGCCACCTCCTGAAAGAAAAAGGCTGATCCCTCTTACCCCTCACTAAAGCTCTCTGTCCTTATAATTTATTATTATTATTATATACTTAATAATTGTGTTTTCATACTTTGTTAATGATTATTTTTTCACTACTAAATGAAGTAGTGCATTATTTACAAACCAGTGATTTGAGAGAAGTTGCTGGTTTTTAAAAATTATTCAGAATGCATAAGTAAATGATTAATAAACTATTAAAATTTACATTTACATATATTATTACGGGCGATGCGGTGGCCTCACAGCAAGAAGGTCGCTGTGTTGAGCCTCGGCTGGGTCAGTTGGCGTTTCTGTGTGGAGTTTGAATGTTCTTCCTGCGTTCGCGTGGGTTTCCTCCGGGTGCTCTGGTTTACCCCACATTCCAAAGACATGCGGTACAGGTGAATTGGGTAGGCTAAATTGTCCGTAGTGTAAACGTGCTGGATAAGTTGGCGGTTCATTCCGCTGTGGCGACCCCGTATAAATAAAGGGACTAAGCCGACAAGAAAATGAATGAATGAATATCTTATTGCTCAGGCATATATGAATAATTACTTTCCATGTTAATAAATGCTTTATTAACTCAACTTCATGCAGTTTTGTAACCTGAGGTTTATTTATGCTTTGTAAATCCCTTATAAATGACAATCAAAGGCTCAGTTATATTCTAAACAGGAAAAAAGAAAACAAATGACTTTTTTCACTTCTATTTATTTGAAGATACAAAATTTAAATGAAAAATAAATCTTTGCAATCTTAACTAAAATAAAATTGCTGTGCAGTTTAAAATTTTGCTAAATAACATTGAAATGTTGTATCATATTATATTGTTAAATTATTATATTGTTGTTTTATCCCATTTATATTTGACACTCCTGTTATTTAACAATGCTTAAACTTTACAGTAATTTTCCTTTTTAGATAAGATTGCAAAGATGTAGTGTTCATTTGATACTAAGCCTTTAATTGTCGTTTATTAAGGATTTATAGAGCATAAATTGTCCTCACTTTAGATTATGCCACAAAGCTAGATGAAGTTGAGTTAATAAAGCATTTATTAACATACAAATTAACTACTACTATATGCCTGAATAGTAAAATATAAATTTTAATTTGAATAGTTAACTAATCATTAACTAACTCATTCTGAATGATCTTTAAAAAACCAACTACTCTTAAATACAAAGGATTTGTAAATAATGCAATACCTAATTCAGTCATGTAAAATTAATCAATATTAAAGTATGAAAGTACAATTATTAATCACATTATACATGTGCTTGTAAGTCAAGAATAGAGCAGTATGTCTGCCGTTATAAACTGCTTGCTAACATCTGTTAATATAGAATTAATACTTAACATGATGAATTCACTATCTGCTAATGCTTAATAAATTATTCATAATGTGTTGTTATTACAAAGTGTTACTAAATTTGCCAATAGTACAATTTGTGCCAGACTCACATTATGCAACTCATTTATTCATTTGAATGGTTTATATTGGAGTCAACAGTGCAGACTGCTTATTTAGTTTTGTGTTAAAAAAAATTATAAACAGATCAAAGCATCTCTAAATCTAAGAACTTGCCATATTTTAAATAGGGTTCACTGTATTATCTTTATTCACTTTATTGCCTTTTACTTCTGTACAAGTCACTGAATCCAACAGAGGATAGTGTTACCTGCTATTGTTGCCTTTTCAGAAAGAGTAAGTGTGGGAGTACTTGAGGCTAAAGGGAAAGCAGTTAATTAGAGATAAATCAAGATAATAACCTTAAACACACTAAAATTACGAATGATACAAATGCTAAATTGCATGGTTTGAAACGTTTGATCTTTTCAGAGATTTTTTAATTTAATAAACAGAAAAATAGATTAAATTGTTGAAGCTAAACCCTGTCTTGAAAATGACAAGTTGTGCCAAAATCATATTACACAACTGAATTATCAACACAAACAGTTTGTGCCAAAAGGTGTCTACAAATCTTTTGTTTTTGTTAAGGTAATGGGGTATATCTAAAAACGTTCTATTTGTTATTACCTCTTACATCATTACTAGTCACAATCCTGCAAAGAGCATGAGTGTTACCTGTTCTAGTACCTTCTACACTAATTTTTTCTACTAGGCCGCTTGTAGAAGTGAGTGTGGATGAGGGCTCTATCAATAAAGATAAAAACAAAGTTTTGTTTAAGTAATCCAAACTCATAAAAAAGTTTAAAAGAGCTTCTTTACTATGCACTTCTTTTAGAAAGCAATGTCAAGATGAAAAAGATTTAACTTTTATACATTGAAAAAAAGATTCAAAGATGATTTTTTGGAATTACTAAATTTTTAAGGTAAGGGGTTGTAAACGATTTATTTGGGCTAAATTAAATAATAATAATAATAATAATAATAATAATAATAATAATAATAATAATAATAATAATATTAAAAATAATAATAATATAAAAAAAAATAATAATAATAATAATAATAAGTTAAACATTGCTCAACTTTATTTGTTTAATTTCAACCCATACAAATTGTTTGCAACAATTTTGCAAAAATCCTTTTTTTCAGTGTATTACCACCTCATCTTAACTGGTCCCTCAATCCAAGAGAGTATGTCAAAAAATGATGACCTTAACCTGCTTTTTCTAGTCCAGTATAATACCTATACATTAAAACTACAAATTTAAACACCAAGCGACCTCTTTAGCATGCACAGAAACTTCTTTTTAGAAAAATGTTAAAGACTACATTTGACCTCTAGAACTCACAGTGGTGCGACAGAAAGACCATATGGTTAAAACTCAAAAACATCATCAAGAGATTTTTATTTCTTGAAAAATTGCATTAACGATATCACAGATCTCTAAATATAAGATCGTTTTAAACTGATTTTCTTTTTCATCACCTAAAACATCTTTACTGATTCCAATAAAAACGTTGACAATTTTACCTGTTGTTTCTGCCTTAGTGGGTGTAGGTGTGGAGTCTGTGTTTAAAGGAATATGTGAGATCATTAGAGATATTAACTATAAACGCACTAAAACTGCAAATATAATATAACAAAAGAGCTTCTAGTGAGTCATAAGCATGCAAATGTTTTTAAATAAATGAATAGAAAATAGTGAAGACGAGTTTACCACTTTTTTTTGCCATTGTGGATGCAAGTGTGGAGTCTGTGTTTAAAGCAATATGTGAGATCGTTTATGATAAAAGATGGGGCCTGTGATTAAAGCAGTGTTTCTTAATCCAGGTCCTCGTGCCCCATTGCGCTGCACATTTCAAATGTTTTCAAGTTATATGTTTGTTCTAATTCAACAAGGATTACAAGGACTCCACAGGATATTCCACCATGATTTTAGTTTGAAGGGAGCAGATACATTTGTATAGTGTCATTCAAATGGCATTTATAATGTATTTATTTATGGAGGTATATTAAGTTATATATGAAGAGTTCAGATGCAAAAACCTCTAAGTGCCATCTGAAATTGTCTTCTAAAACTAGCATTTTTCTCAGGCTCCTGTGTCTTGATTCAGTAAATTCACTTTTATGGCAAAGAATAGTTTATTTTCATTGATTTCATTGACATGGAATAATGTAACAAAAACATAAGGGGCAGAGAAAAATACTTATTGTAGAAGAAAATTCTAGATGGCATTTAGAGGTTTTTGCATCTGAACTCTTTATATACATGTATATATTACGCTTCCCAGGTAAAATGTTGAGTAAACTCATGAATGAAGTGAAATAATGGTTTCTCGTTCTCTGGTAGAACGCTGTGAAGAAGACAGGACTAGGGAGGAATGCACACTGCATAGGGATGTGCAACTCAGAACAAAGTTGATATAAAAGAGACATGCACAACATGCAGATCGGTAGGGCACGAGGAACGGGAGAGACTCACTGAAGAGAAATATAAAATATTTTAAATAGATTTTACTTTATAATCACCTCGTACATAATTACTAGTCATTATATACTACAAAAGAGGATGACCATTACCTGTTGTTTTTGTGGTTTCAGAAGAAATGAGTGTGTGTGAGGGGCTTGAGGCTAAAGGGAAAGGAGTTAATTGGAGATAAATCAATATGATAGTATTATAATCACAATAAATGTCTATAACTATAATCACACTACTTTCATGGTTTAAATTTGCTTATGGTTTCATATTATTTTTACAAATAAATAGAAAAATAGATTGGATAGAAAGTGTTAGCAATGACAGATCAAGTGTTGAAGCTTAAATGTTTCTTGAAAATGATGAGATCAAAATCACATCATGCATCTGAATTAATAAATGTAATTATTCATAGGAATCAACAACACAAAGTGCAAAAAGATCAAATGGATCTGCAACTCTAAGAACATTCTATTTACTGCATTATTACCTCTTACATCCTACTGCATCCTAAAAATGGGACCACCATTACCTTTTTCTATCAC